TTAGGTCTCCGTTCACCCCAATGGTGCGAAGACTCTGCAAGAAGAAGCCCGACTCACCTGTCATCTCTCAAGAGTCCGCTCCAATCGTTCAAGAGGCCCCTATCCTCCCTCAAGAGTCTCCCCCACCGTTTAAGAGGCCACTGTCATCGTTGAAGAGGTCCCTCCCACCATTCCAGAGCCCGATTCACATTGGGTAATATATCGAAGTATTGAGAAACCCTCACCGGTTCCGAACATGATGGATGAGAGTTGGCTCTCGTATGAGTTACCGGCTAGTACCCTTCCGGTATCTGAAGTGTAGAGGAGACAACTACCGGAAACAATTGTGGATAATACCTTTTGGGCTAAGACCGCAATTGATTTTTATCTACATGAGCGGAGCCAAGGGTGTTACACTGACATAAGCAAACTCAACGATGAAATGTTTTTGTTGCTTGATCGGTCTTGGTGAGGTGTGCTATTAGGGGTTGAAGACAGTGTCTATTTCGATGGGAGGTAAGTCTTATATTTGTCTTATATATGATTCTGATTAATTTTTTTTAAAAATTAATTTAATTTACTAATATATGTTTTTTTTTTGTAAAACAGCATATCTATGCGTGGGTGTCACGTCTTCTAATAATAAGGAAGCTTAGGAAAAATAAATTCGCGATATACAGTAATGCCGGTGGCTTTTCACGCAGTTCACTTGAAAAATCAACGAGATGAATCATTTTCGTTGGGCAACGGACAAATTAAACTTTATCCTGCTTGATGGGAGGTGTTTATCCCTGTTTTGGAACGTCGTCATTGGCTTCTCGTCCAACTTCAGCTCTTATCCCTGAAGATAATAGTATATGACAGCATGATAAATTACATATCACTGTCTGATTTGAGAGATATTATCAAGGGATGTAGCTCTCTTTTGGCTAAATTCTTGGATGAGATTAATTATTGGACTCATTCTGGACACAAGAAGCCAAAGAAGTTCAATGTCACAGTTGTCAGAGACGAGACCGTGCAACAACAATCCCCGGGAGCTAGAGGGGATTGTGGTCCTCTCATATGCATGTGCTTGGTGCGTTTGATGATGGAAAGCACAAAGTTTCTACCTCCCACCGATAGAGATAGACGCTGCCTACCTGCATCCGCGTTATTAAAGTATCTATTGTTAATTGGTAAGTCATATGCAAGTTTTGTTAACATATATATTCCTTTTGGTTTGAAAATGTTTGGTTAAGTACTTAGAATTCAATAATTTGTTGTTTGTAGGAAGTCTTGTTTGAGCAAATGTTTGGTTTATGCAGGTTAATCCTTAAGTGAGCTGCGTGAAATGGATATACGGGTGCAAAAATGATTCGTGAAATGCAGTTTTCTTATTATTATTTTTTGATTATTAAATTGATTTGTAAAAAATGATCTGTAAATGTTGATTTGTTTAATTGATGTGTACATAATTCTTATTTGTGCTTGTTTAATTGATTGAAATGTAATAGTTGATTTGTTGATTTTCAATCTGCATTATGTTGAAGGCAAAACAGACTGTCGCAACACGAAACTGACTGTCGCAACACGAAACTGACTATTGCAACGAGAGAATCGCAATGCGAAATGAAAATCACAACGAAAGAATCGTAATTCGAAATGAAAATCGCAACGAGAGAATCGCATCGCGAAATGAAAATCGCAAAGACAAAATCGCAACGCGAAACTAAAATCGCGTTGCGATTTTAATTTAGCTTTGCGATTTACTCTTTGCGATTTTCATTTCGCATTGCGATTCTATCGTTGCGATTTTTGAGACCTCTTCAACGAATGACAGTGACCTCTTGAACGGTGGGAGGGGACTCTCAAGGAATGATAGGGGCCTCTTCAACGATAGGAGTGGATTCTTGAGAGATGACAGGCGAGTCGGGCTTCTTCTTGCGGTGTCTTCGCACTATTGGGGTATGCGGAGACTTAATAGCACGTGCACGCCGTCTGATGCGTGAACTATGTCGTGCAAGAAAAACCTGACGTAAAGCATCCACCTTATCGGTCCGCTAAATAATTAAATACAAATATCAGTAAATAAACAGACATGATATTTAAACAGTGAAAACAAAGACAAATTTATTTCAAACTTTCAACCAAAAGACAAAACAAAGACAAATACTAACTTTATAGTGTTAAAGAATACACAGTTTAGCAGAATTGGCAGCAACCGAACAAATTTACTTTCAACCAAAAGACAAATCAAAGACAAATACTAACTTCACAGTGATAAAGAATACACAGTTTAGTAGAATTGACAGCAACCGAATAAATTTATTAAGCAATCTAAGTGAAATGGTTAATCTAAGTGAAATTACAAGTAAATTTATCAAGTTAAATATGGAAAATCTTAAACTTACCTCGTTGCGTAGAGTATAAACCTCATTCTGCAACGATACTACCATCTCACGTAGAGCGGCAACCTCACCACGTAAAGTAGACACCTACACAAGCCATGCACCATCGTTATTGCGTAGAGTACCGATCTCCTCACGCAAGGCATTGACCTCATCACGTAACTCCCTTGACTCATCCCGTGGAGGTGGAGGTGGAGAACAAAGAGATAGAAGTCGTGGCATCTTTGTCGGTCGCCTATCATAAGGTGATGGTGGAGAAGAGGCTCGATGATGTGACGGGATAGGTGATGGCTCTCGTTGTAGAAGTGTATAGTCGGGTCGATCAGGTGATGGCTCTGGGTGAGGTGATGGCTCTCGAAGTGGAGGAAGTGGAGGCTGCTCATCATTCGTTGCATATGGTATTAAGTCTTCCCAATCCAACAGATGTTTCCTCTTCCAGGAAATAGCCCTGGAAATATCATTTTAAGTTTTTATTGCATATGTCTTCATGGCGAGAAAGGCCTCGAATATCCAAATTTACAAACAATATAATAACAAACATTAGTAATTGTTAAATAATTAATTATAATTTTGAAAACATTATATAGAAATTCTTACCTTAAAGGTCCAAACAAAGCCTGACAAAGTGTATTTCGACCCATCGCCCCGTAAACTTTTGCGGTCATCAAAGGCAGACGACAACTTAGTCCAGGTAGCTTTCCATATATACGAACCCACGGAAACAGATTCAATGCATTTAGGTTCTCTACCAATAATATTAGCTCCTGAGGAATAGGTTGTCTGGCCTCTCTGCCTAAAAAGTCGGCATACAAAAGTAGTAGAAGGCATACTCGGACAACATCGACGTCATTCATCCGAGTAAAATCATCTTTCTTATTAAACAATTTCTTCATGTCGTCGACGTGTAAGTTCGGTTTCTCTATTAACTCATCAGGAAAAACCCTGGATAACCATGATGGGCGGGTGATATGACGAGTGTACCGGCCTACATCATCGTGTCCGAATCGTAGACCAGTGATTAAGCAGAACTCCTTCCGCCCAAAACAAGTATACGCCGGTGGAAAATGAAACCATATCTCTTCCTCACCACGTTGTATACTGTCGGGTAGATCGCTAGTCATGGTCTGAAGCCACAAATGGGTCAAATTAGCATCTCCACCCGGATGCTGTACTCTCAGCCATGGCCCGAAGCAGGTTTCCTCAAACAATTTTCTTTGTGCAGGTGAAAACTTCGAAGCAATTGTAGTGGCTAGGCTAACTTTATTTCTTAATGTCAATGAAGCCGAAAAAAATTTCTACAAAAACAATAAACATACCAAGTTAGATATACCAAAAACTACACTGTCAAGATATACCAAAAACAATAAACATAAATAGTAGTTTATTCTTGAAACTAAAATTTGCAACACTGTTTTGTCTTTTGGTTGAAATGAAAATCGCAACGAGATAATGAGAATCGCAACGCGGAAATGACTATCGCAACGAGAGAATCGCAACGCGAAATGAAAATCGCAATGCGATTTTGGTTTTGCGTTGCGATTTTTATTTCGCGTTGCGATAATTATTTCCGCGTTGCGATTTTCATTCTCGAAACTATTATTCTTTTGCATTACTTCAATCAAAAGACAAAACAAAGACAAATACTAACTTCACAGGCTAAACAGTTTAGCAGTATTGGCAGCAATCGAATGAATTTAATAAGAAATCTAAGTGAAATGGTTAATCTATTATTGAAATTACCAGTAAACTTATCATCAATCTCAATATGAAAAACCTAAAATAATGCAAAAATTTTAAAATAAAAAATAAAATAAAACAAAACTAACCCTCGGAGGTTGATTTTCCATTTCTGAATGATTGTGAGGGATTTTTGACTGTGAATGGTTGTGAGGGATTTCGCCGGCGATGGGGACCGAAATCTTCGGAGATGGGGACGGATTTCGCCGTAGAGAGTGAGAGATAGAGATGGGACTGAATGTTGTGATTTTAGGTTTGAGGTTATGAGTTGCGATTACTGTGGACGGTTCAGTTTCCGATTTATTAAGAAAAAATTCGTGTTTGGAATTTGAAAAAAAAATACGCGTTAATACGAATGGCGCTATGTAAATCGCATTGCGATTTACGTATTCGCATTGCGATTTACGTATTCGCATTGCGATTTCCCTAATTCGCATTGCGATTTACTTAATCGCATTACGATTTACGTATTCGCATTGCGAATTATGAAAATCGCAACGCGAATACGTAAATCGCATTGCGATAGTCAGTATCGCATTGCGATTTTCCCAATTCGCGTTGCGATTTACTTATTCGCATTGCGAATTGAGAAAATCGCAACGACACTGTAGACAATCGCAACGCGAAATACAACGCGAATTTGCGATAATGGAGATCGCGTTGCGAATTAGCGATCGCATTGCGATTTTGTTGGTCATTTTGGCAAATCCGGAAAAAGTTGGTTAAAATCGTATATTATATGGGATTTTTGGTCACTGAGGTTATTTTCTCTTTCAAAATATATCTTACTGGAGGTCCTTGTATGAGCTTATTTTGGAAGAGATGCTACTGTTATCTATAATTGGAGCTCCATTTAGTTTGTTTTAAGCCATTATTTTTTTCTTCATATTTTAGGGAATTAATGTTTTAAAAGCACATGGAAAAAGTGCCAGAGATAGCTACCTACTGAATGGGTATGCTCTGAATACTGGCCGTGCTGCACAAGGAATGTCCTTGAGAGTTTTCCCTGCCAGGATTGCTCGTCTTGATTTTAATCTCCAGAAGACAAAAATGTAGTTGGGAGTTCAAGTCTTGGTTACTGATCCTAGGGAGCTTGAGAAAATTCGTCAAAGGTGACAAGTCATAATCCTAGGGAGCTTGAGAAAATTCGTCAAAGGTGACAAGTCATAAGCTGTTGTCTGAAGATACAATCTGCGCATTAATTGATTGAAGCTTCCCTCATTTTTTATTTTTATTTTTCTGGTCTGGAATATGTAGAACTTCATCATATTATCTAGAGCCTGCCTAGGGTAAATGTTAAAACAGACATTCATGAACATTAAATGTGGCACTGATGATATCTATATCTAAACAGAGAAGCTGATATGACGAAAGAACGAATTGAGAAACTTTTGAAAGCTGGAGCCAATGTTGTCCTGACTACAAAAGGGATTGATGACATGGCACTCAAGGCAAGCTTCTTTTGTATTTGTTTTTATGCAACTGCTTACATGCTAATTTTTTTTAGTTTTTATAGTTCTTCCTAAATCCAACATTACTTTTTCAGTATTTTGTGAAGGCTGGAGCTATTGCTGTGAGACGTGTCCGAAAAGAAGATATGTGCCATGTTGCTAAGGCAACTGGTGCGACCATGGTACATTCCTACACAGCTTAGAAATGACAATTATGTCATAACCATCTAAATTTTTCATGCTTTGTGCTACATTATAACTCATCTTCATGTTCCTTTTGGCATAGAATTGATTAAGGTTATGATAGATAATCAGCCCCATTTCTATGAAGGACATTATTCTTCTGAAGCTTAGTTGTGTTATTTTGGACTAGTAAAACCATGGTACTTGTCTTAGTTTGTAATAGTTGAAAAGGTCTAGTAAGAACTTGTCTTATAGTGTTCTTCTTCACTGATGGATGTGTAGGTTTCAACCTTTGCTGATATGGAGGGTGAAGAAACTTTTGATTCATCGCTTCTTGGATATGCTGCTGAAGTTGTAGAGGAGCGCATTGCTGATGATGATGTGGTTATGATTAAAGGGACCAAGAGTACCAGTGCAGTATTTTTTTTTTCTATCAAACTTTGGACTCTTGATTCCTTTATAATTATGTCCGCGGTTCATTATCATTCAGATATCAGTCATTTCTCCTTTTATATTTTGAAAAACAGATTTTTGGGCTACTGCGAGATGAGATTATCGACATTGTTGTGGAAACCAAATTACAGCTATGTTACTGTTATTATTGCAAAATGTTAAACAAACAGATAAAGTTCTGAAGTTATGTTCCTTAGTATATTGTCACGTGTTGGCTTTGCCTTTTGATTCTTTACAATCATATGAGCCTGACGCCTGTTTTCATCATTTCCAAGGTTTCCTTGATCCTAAGAGGAGCAAATGACTATATGCTTGATGAGATGGAAAGAGCTCTACATGATGCTTTATCTATTGTGAAAAGGACTCTCGAGTCCAACATGGTAAACTTATACCTATTAACCAATGATTATTTTTAGTTTCACGATCTAGCACTTGCATGAATGAGAGAATAGTCTACATGAGCTTAGCTGTCTTGCCACGACCTTAGGATCACGTGAACAGTTGGCAATTGCAGAGTTTGCGGAAGCTCTAGTAATTATACCGAAGGTAGAATTAATGTTGACTAGGCCGCAATTGGTGTGAATTTTTTTTTAATCTTTTATTGCCCCATCTCACTTCATGGTTGAAATGAAAAGTTAATATTTGTGTTGACATGCGCAGGTGCTTGCAGTCAATGCAGCAAAGGATGCTACTGAATTAGTTGCAAAACTTCGGGCTTACCACCACACTGCTCAAACAAAGGCTGATAAGAAACATTTTTCAAGGTATACATTGAGCATAGTAGTTTGATAAAAGAAAATACTGGAGAATTCATGTGTTTGATCTTGTAAATTTTCAGCATGGGTTTGGACCTTTTGAATGGAACCGTTCGTAACAACTTAGAAGCAGGAGTGATTGAGCCCGCAATGAGCAAAGTGAAGATCCTTCAGGTAATTGCGGCTGTTTTTGTTTGAATATGTTGGTTATCCAACACTGAAAGCAACCTAACCTGGTAAATATGATTATACTGTTTTACCAGTTTGCAACTGAAGCAGCCATAACCATTCTTCGAATTGATGATATGATCAAGCTCTTCAAAGATGAAAGTCGGAATGAAGAGTAGGGGAGATGGAATGGTGGTTAATATTTTTAATACTGCACAAGGTTAATGTTTTTGCTTTTTTATTCATATTACTGGTATTAAAATAAATTTAATTTTGTTTTTGTTCAGTGATTTAATGAATTTAGAAATTAATATTTACCTCAATTGCAAGTTTGAAGCTCAAATTCGGGTGGAATCTTCAAAAACAAGTTCGAGATTGATTTGCGAGTCAACGAGTTTGAGTTTCAGGTGAAATTATGGATTATTTTGAAGATAAACTACATTTTTATCGATCTATGATTTTTTGGGTGAGAAATTTGAGAGAAAACAGAAGGAATTCGAGAGAAAAATGATGAACATGAAGGAAAGAAAAAGGTAGTTAAAGTGTGTAACCGACGGTGGGGAAGAGAACGTGGTATTTGGCTCTTTTAAAAAAAATAGCGAAATAGCAACATAAAACCAATTCTTTCCAGAGCATTTCATTTTGGTCCCTGTGCCGTACTAAATATTAAAGGGAAAACTAGATAAATGGTCATTAATGATGTTTTAAAAGTAACGTCCGTACTTAAAACCTGAATTCAATTTACTTTAGCAGATAATAGTAACTCATCTTTCAGTGTTTTTCCTTAGCAATTTATTAATAAATTAACAAATTCAAATCTCTAAAAATAAATTGTTCACCAAAAAATGGTATTCTCTCCTATTCACCAAATTCGTCCTTTTTAGATTTTAAAATTATACCACTTAGATATCCTATGACAAAAGTCAACAAATAACAATATTTTTTTATTTTTGAGAAAATTATCTCAGTGATCGAAAATGTCTTATAATATACGACTTTAATCAACTTTTTTGGGATTTGTCAAAATAACCAACAAATTCGCAACGCGAACTCCAATTTCGTAACCCAGTTTCCAATTTCGCAACGCGATAGTCAAATTCGCAACACAAAAGTCAAATTTGCAATGCGATAGTCAAATTCGCAACGCGAACTCTAATTTCGCAACGTGAATAGTAAAATCACAACGAATCTATATGTAAATTATCTCTTATCATCAATCTATAATAATTTGTTGGAAAAATACATAAATAATTTTTATAAAAAATATTCGTACACTTGAAAAAATTTATATGTAAATGAATAACAAATCTATTTCATTTGTCAATCTTCATTACAAATTATTCTAAATTCAATTAATTAAGGTTTTAAATTTGAAAGAATCCTTAACTCAGACTAATGAAATACATTTAAAAATTAAATTTTGAATTATATTAAGAAAAAGCTGATTCCTGTACATATATAGATAAGTTTTATTTTCCACTTAAAATCTCAATCTATAAGCAGAGTTACCATTTGAAATTCGCAACGCGATTTTGTGATTTTCTAAATTCGCGTTGTGATTTTACTATTCGCGTTATGATTTTACCATTCACGTTGCTATTTTACTATTCACGTTGCGATATTTACTATTCACGTTCCGATTTTTACTATTCCCGCTGCGATTTTGGAAACTGAGTTGCGAAATTAGAGTTCGCGTTGCGATTTTGTTGGTCATTTTGGTAAATCCAAAAAAAATTGATTAAAATCATATATTATAAGACATTTTCGGTCACTGAAGTTATTTTCTCTTTATTTTTTATATGTTATATTCTTTTACAACTATCAAAACAAATATGTAAAATATACCTAGGACAAAAATAATAGGATGAAATGAGTTTTAGTTTTAGTTTGAAGAAAAAACAGAGATCAGTAAACATTCCTTAATAGAAATCTTAGGAGGTGGTGGCTTAGTAGCAATCTAGAAGACAAGCAATGCAAGCCCCAAGCTCAACACCATCCTCCAACAGATTTGCAAAGAAATCCAAACGCAAGAATTGGAGCTTCTAAAAAAACTATACCTAGGCCAATCCTTTTTTTATCTTCATCTTCGTCGTTTTCATCGTCTTCGTGGCCGACCTTATTGATAATGATGAGACGGTTGAACCCTCTTTTTTGACCGGCAACAGCGGCAGCAACAATGCTTTTTTCATGCAAGGAGTTGTTCGATCCACTAGAGGACAGGTAACGCGAAAGGGTGACGACTGACGAGTAACGTCGGGGTTCTTGTTGAGGATGTTTGATTCGGAAGGAGTCAAGGAGTGGAAATGCAAAGTAACAGTGGATTGGTCATCGATGGCGGTGTTGCAGATATCGGTATTGCCTGCATGGGAGACGGTGAAAGGGCTTTGAACATGCATGTGGATAAGAGTGGAACATATGTATTAAATTATGGTCGTAATTGTTGTATCGTAATATTTTTTAAAATTATCTTGATATTATATCTATAATATGTAATTGTAATTATTTTTAAGAAATAAATTATAGTGTAGCAATATCCACAATTACGTCCTAGTATGTATTAAGAAAAACAATTACAGCATAGTAACCGCAACCATAATTTATTGCTTTAACCTCAAAACTTAGTGGACAAAATAAAGTCACCCAAAAGCAACGTAAACATAAGAGAGGAGAAACAAAAATGGTACTGTCAGAGACTATGGATGGCGTAGTGGCCGGCCCTCAACCGGAGCGCCTTGGCCGGCTTAGGAAGATCACCACCACTCAGCCCTACCAGTTACCAAAGGTTAAAAGAAATTAAGGAAAGAAAGAATAACTCAAAACAATTTTTCTTTTGATCATTTTATGATTTTTTCTTTTAGTTTTGTGTCACTCTTGGAATTATGAATAATTTTCCGTCAGACGAAGCTCTGCGTACGACGATGCCAACGACGCCGGTGTAGGAGCACCGGGAGAACGTGTGGAGGAGCGTGTTCCACCCGGGTAGCAACCTTGCTACCAAAGGTATCGGTGTTGAAGTTTTCGACAAGCCTCAACCCGACTCTCCTACTGTTTATGGTTGGTCTGTGCAAATTCTTTTTTCCCCAGCCATTTGCATGCATGGATAATTCAATATGATCAAGGATTTCTTTTGCATTTTTGGTCTGTTTGGTTGCTGATAAAGGTTCATTTCCTTACAATGTTCATGATCCCAATTTTACATTTCTGTTTATGTTTCGTTGATGTATATATATATATATATTTCTCAACTGAAATACATTGAATTGTGCCTTTTATCTTACACGGTTTATTTCTTCCTGTTGATCCCTGAACTGGATTTTGAGATCCCACCTGAGGCTCAATGGGGAAGTCTATCAAAGGAATTTACTTCAACCACTTTCCCACATATTTATCTACTATATATATCAGATTTTCTCCCTCTTATTTTTTGCTTTTCTTTCTCTTGAATTAGAAAACATAATCCAGTGACACTTTTGATTGGATATATTTAGGGTTTAACTAAAAATAAATAAATCATAAGTTGGGTTTTTCTAGCTTGCAGTAGAATGTTGTGATGTCATCAGGTTTGCTCCATCTCCTGATCCATCATTGAGCGTTAAATTCTACGATCTAACACCTGAACAACAATCATCATTGAGATATCTTGTAGACTCATCCCAGTTGAACGAGCATGCTGCTGAAGCATCTAGGGGAGAAACAAACAATGGTGCTGATCAAATAAGAAGACAACCACATTGATAAGTAGGAGCGGCAGCTGGTCAAAAGGCCATTGCTCAGAGTAATAGTGCTGAGGCTTTATTCCCATATTCTGCACCTGAAGAGGTAGGCCAATTCCAACTGTTAACATGAGGTTGGTGGTGATTTTGCTTCTCCAACACTTGTATTCCTAATAAGTTTGTGGCTACTAACAATGCTTACCATGAAGTTGAAGCCTGGTGGACCTATACCTGAGAAGGGAAAGAGAATAACCCTATGTGTGAAAACATCAATGATTTAAGTCGTCATGTTATAAAGGTTTGTTCTGGCAACTCAAAGCTCATTCTTCGTAGATGCATTGCGATAGTGACGAGATTCTCAGCAGAATACTTCATTAGCTACTCTTATGGTGTTTGTTTGCAGAATACTAATGATAAATTATCTAACAAGCCGTCTTGTAAGTGTATCAGTCAGATACTGCAAGCATAAAAGTCCCAAAACTAGAGTTGAAGGTTTGATTACAAAAATTAGTGAAATTGAGTACTGCAAAACTCATTTCTTTTCTTCTTGTGAATTTTCTGTTTGCTTGTTGATTCTGTTATTTATGGTCCTCTTCCTATTGTTTCCCAAGTTTAACCCCCATAATGGCTATAGACTCAGCCTTGTTTGATAGTTAGTTAGTTACTGAACTGAAAAAGGCTAGATTTTCAGTCAGCTTGCTGATTTTGCTTTTATCAGCTTATGCTGCATACGAAGAAAACATACGGGGACAAATAGACTACAAATGATCTGTATCCGAAAGCAAGCTTTGGGTCATTTAACCAATCGAATTTGGCTAATGAAAGAAGCTTGTTGTGCATTGACTGCACCCAGATTGCAGTTTTGAAAACTTTACAAAGTTTCTAATTAAGATAGGGCAGATTTCCCTTTCCAAAACGATTGATAATCTAAAGACCAAACTACTCAGGTGGTGGTGGGGCATCGACAGGTTTTCCTTTCTCCCTCATCTTAGCCACGGCTTGTTTCATCGCTTCCTTCCTCTGCTTGCTAGCTAATACTTTTGCCTGAACACCACTCACTGGGGTCTTTCTTCTCCTCTGGTGGTGGCGGTGGTGGCCTCCTAGCTGCTGCATTTGCTTGTCGCTGGACGCAGAAACTGAAGCCAAGCAATGTCCCTGCCAAGCCCAATGTCACAGTCCTGCACCAAAGAACCAACCCCATAAACACAATGTTTCATCAAACCTAAAACTAATGGATCTTCCTTGAATCCATAACATATTGCAGGATGACAAAGTTGAAGCATGTAGACTCTAAAAAAGGGGGTTGAATATGTAAACCTGCGATGGAGTTCATCATCTGAGACATGAACATGTGTCTGCAATGGAGTTTGAGATAAAAGGTTGTTTGATTTGGGAATGAGGGATATTGCAGGAGTTATTAAATGCGCCATTGGCACACTCGACATCTCAACAAGGTTTCCTCCTGT